AGTGGATTTTTAATTTGTATTTCCATGGTCAAAATGTTGAGTGTATTCCATATTCCTGCAACTTGCAAAGCAGAACTGAAAAAAGCCTTTGATTTGACCAGAAATATTTCACAGAATGTGATCAAAATGACTGCAGGTGTTTCCAAACTCTTCACCCCTTTCATCCTTTTCTTCTTGCCATGTACTTCAACTTTAACGTGAAAAAAGAAAAAGTAAAAAAAAAAAAACTCATTTTAGAAATGTCACGTTTTTCTGAACCCGTTCCCGTGTTTATTATGTGCTGACGTTATCACTAGTCTTTGGTACAGTGGAAACATTTTTAGTGAACATCTCTTCACCAAAAATTAAGATGTCCATTGCTATTTACAGTTTGTACTTCTCAGAATTTATACATTGTACCTTGTATATAGTTACTAATTCATTTTTTTTTTTTAAACACTCTGACGTAGTAACTCAAGAACTTCTATCTCTTTTTTTTTATAAGTGGTAACTTTCTTTTTGATGAATAATTTTTACCTGCTGTCAAGAGGAAGATTTTCTCATGCACGGTAGTTAATAACCTGACTAATTAGATGTGATTTGTTCTAAATCTCTTGCACTTTTTTTGCGTATGTCACATCCGTCCCTTGCTATGAGAAGTGGCTCTCATTTTACAATCACATTTATCTGTTCTGGCGACTTAGTATTACAAATATTTTTAAATTACTTTGACTTAGTTTACATAACAAATGCTGAAATATTGAGAGACTACAGGAAGTGTTACAATATGTACAAATTATTTGTGAAAGTACACTTTGCGTACAGCAGATATTTTTTACTAACTATAGAGAAGCAGACTATTAATCACTTAAAACAAAGACATGGAATTTACCATACAAGTTTCAGGAATATTTTAGTATTTTATCTGATAATGCTGCCAAAGTAATTCTAAGAACTTGAGCTATGTTACTAATATTTTTAAATTAATCCTTGGGGCTGATTTTTCTGTGGTGGTATCTGAGTGTGGCCATTGTATTGCCTTTATTTAAAGTTCTAATGAAAATAGCCTAGGGCTTCTGGAAACGAAACGGGCAAAAAACTCACATTTTTTGCTCACTTTAGAAAAGAATGAGAAAATATGCACTGCAGTGACTTCATTTAGGGTCTCTGATGACTTCTTGCTCTGCTATTAGCAAAAGGGAAAATGATTTATAGCAAAGGATGTCTGGTCTCCTCCATCGGTGGTTGTGTAGTGTGAGATCGGCAGCATCTTGAAAATGTCAAAGGCGAGGTCTGGGTTGTAGGACTGCAGGTGTGAACCAAGTTACTCAAGACTTGTGGTAGGAAGGAGCTGGTCTGTGTGGTTCCATTTGAGAGAGAAAAGAGAGGTTTGGATATTTTTTCTTAGGTAGCAGAACTTCTCTTGCAAGGTTAGTAATGGTTGCAAATGTAGGTGCCAAAGGAATTAAGAAAAAACCTGTGAACTTTGTTGTTATACTTCAGAATATAACAGTGTCATTACTAATATGATCCCTCATAATATTTTCCTAGTATTTTTGTCATTTAGACACATATGGAACTGTACTACATCTGGACAACACCAGTGTGCTGTGAATTTGCCTGTTGTCTGACCTTATTAATTCCCAGACATGGAAGGTGCTTGGTGCAGGCTGTCAGGTGTCTTTGAATTCCCTCCTTGCCTCTGCCACCAGAGTTGCTGTGAGATGCTGAGCAAATCACATAAACTGACACAGTCTCATTTAGTCACTAACTGTGTATTGCTAATTTTCTTAATATCCAAGCTAAGGCACCTGTGACCAGATTCAAAGCTGTGTAAAGTGTTCACCACCGCAATAAGGTATAAGGGGAACAGAGCTCTAAATGTGTGCAATAAAGCTGTTAGGCACACTTGACATTGGGAGGTATCGAGAGAGGCACCCAGAATTAGCCTCAGTCTCTCTTTGTTCTCCACTTTTTAATGTGAAAATAATAGTATAACCCGATCTTGCAAAGACTGTGAAAAAGAGCTTCACTAATATTTGAAGGGTGGTAGGTGCCACTGCAGTGAGTGATGAATTATGTACCTAAGCTAAAAACCTGTTTATCTTTTGTAGGAGAAGGTGTACTGTTATTATATTCAAGTTTGACCCAGAAGTTTTTCTGTTCTGTCTCTTATTTAAATTAATGTAAAACCAGATTCTTAGTAAAGTGATCAAACAGCCTGTGGGAAAGCATATAATAAATATGTGTTATTGTTCAGTCCAGCATAGTTATGAAGTATCACAACCTATCTGCCTTTTGAAATGAAAGCAGTAAACAAACAAAAAAAAATGCCAAACAAATCTCATGTCTTTGTTCTGGTTTACTTAAGCTCCTCTTTGGAACTTTACAGCCTTTATTACTTAACACTCAGAATCTCTGTGTAAGCTAAGGAAATAATATAATCCCCATTTTTTGGACTTTGGAATAAAACATAGTTGAGATAAGCCCATACACGTTAAAGGACGTTGGTTAGTGAAAATTAGGGGCTTTGATTTCAAGCTCATAAGTGCCAGCCTTTAGCCTGAACTCTGGACCAACTCCTTGTGTTGTGAGTGACACCTGAGAAGGTGTCATCCAAACCAGCCAGCCAAGGTAGGCAGTGTCACAGGCTAATGTGCCCCCTGCTAATCAAGAGTGAATTTTTCGAGGCCAGAGGTAGGTCTGCCATGGTGCCTCGAACGTTCCTGTGTACGTTTCACGTTCAGTGGGCAGAAGCAGAATGAACATTTGAGGACAGCTGGCATGCTTCAGCAGTGCCCGTTGCCTCGAAGGGCTGGAGAGACCTGGGCAAAGGGACGGGTGATTTCTGAATAATGTTCCAGCTAAGGGGTGACCTTGGCGTGAGCCATGGAGCCCTGGCAGTTCGGAGCTGTCCTAGGCAGGCAGAACGGCGCCCAGGGAAACTTTTCAGGCAAAATAAAACTATAGTGTTAGGTAGGTGGCAAACAAAATGTTGCAGCATTGAGATTTTTGAGCTTTGGTACCTGGGCTCTATCTCAGACACCATGAAATGCCTTTTCTGCATGTGCTGAAAGACACACATTGTAATACAGTGAGTTGAACCTCGATTTTTCTTGTATGTACCTATTTTTTTTTTCTTCCCTTCTGTTGTCCTGTTCCTTATTATGGACACATTTGGCCACTGTCAAATTGAATGATTTTTTGCATACTTGGTTGGCTGACTCTTTTTTTCCTAATTTGCTGATACAGTCAACTGTGCCAGTAAAGCAATTATGCAAAATTGTGTATAAAGGTTTAATGATACAAAACAGTGTTCATCACAAATCTAATTGTGATTCTTACCATTCTTCCATGAACTAAAGACTGTGAGATGTTTGAATTAGGATTTCTGTGGTTAATATCTATTTTGTTAAAAACATTTAGTTTAGCAGATAAGGGAACATTTAATGTACATGTCACTATTAACTTTGGAAGGAAGCAATAAACAGAAGTAGTGCCTTGGAGGTGGTCAGGTAATGTTATTTATCCTTTCAGGTGGTGATTATGAGAAGTCTGCTTTATTACATGTCTCATTAGGTTACACTGTTACCTATTTTACATTACAAATGATAACTACATATGGTTGATTGTGCACTGAGTCTAATGCAACACAGATAAAAATATAGACATAGTGACAAAGCAAAATATTTCTGCATGCTGAAAATATAGTGGGTTAAAACAGAATTGACAGATACAGTGTACCGAGATTTGATGTCTGGTTTCCACTCTGGTAACTGAACTGGTTCAGGAAAAGAGCAGTAAAGCAACACTTGGTAATGCTTTCACTGAAGCTGAAAATCCCACTGGCTTTTTTTTTGTACAGAATGGAGCATTCAGAAACATTTCAAAACTGATATTTCTCCCTCATGTTTGCGTTGGTATTTTCCGATTTCTATGCCGCTGCCTTCCTCAGAACCCTAGCTGGGATTTAATCCTGCCACAGAAAATATTAGTGAGTCAGATACTGTTATTAGGACTGACATTCAGTAGCATCTTTTTTCTATCAGGTCATTATGTACTGCCAGGAGAGACCTGCTGCCTCGGCCACTAGAGACAAAGCACACGCTGCTTCCATCAAACAGCGTACGAAGAGGAAGAACGAAAAGTGGCTCTCCTTTCTGTCCCTTTGTTGGTTAGCAGTTCTCAGCTGTATTTTGTCTTTGCACTAAGGAAGCGTTAGGGACTGTAAGGACAGGGCATAGAGAATAACCTAGCAGGGCTTTCTGCCACCTCCTTAATCAGGGTCATCCTTGATGACTAAATTAGGAAGGTGAGTTCTCTTCGCTTGGGTGCTCCACGTAGTCAAGATATGTGAGCAGTGTTATACTCAACGCAGCAGCATGTGGCTTGGATAAACACTTTTAATTTACTGTTTTCTGAAAACAGAGGCTTGAAGCAGTCACGGAGGCTTCAGGAATGCTAATTGTTTGTGTACATGAACGAGCTTATAAATGGTTGCTTTTGCAGTTTTCCATAGCTCATGGAGGGTAACTGTGTCACTGCCAGAGAAACGAAGAGAGAATGATTATTTTTTTTCTCCACAGTCTACTGATACTTTCAGGGCTCGATATAATGTGCCTTTAACAAACCGTGAACTTCTCTCCTACTGAGCCACTGCATCCTGCCTACATTCAGTGTAGGCAAAGAACCATTATACTAATCCACTCTCCCATCATATCTCTAGTGAACACATGTAAGTGTTTTCTTTGAATATTTATTTTGATGCAAAGGATGTTAAGTCTTTTATTTGGCAACACAAAAAAGTAGGAAATAGTCAGTTCTGAACTTTATAACCTTAATTGTGGAAGTTCTGGTTTTCAGCTATGACACATTTTGACAAATGTATGACAGACACATTTGGCTTGAAGATAATAATCCTTCCACCTCACAACAACCTTAGAGTAGTTCATGTCTGCAGGTAGGATAGCTTTATAACGTAGATGCCAAAATGATCAGTCTTTCACTTTGTTTTTTAACAGGTACGGTTATATGCAAGGCCTGATGCAATCCGAAGAGGATCGGGGGACTATGCTCTAAACATTACAAGGAGACTTATTGAATTTTATGAAGATTATTTTAAAGTGCCCTATTCCCTGCCAAAATTAGGTAAGACTTCCACTAGAATATGAGGTTCACCTGGAAATAGAAGATTAAGTCAGCTTTTTTTAAAGGAAATTTAAGACTGCCATGTACTAGATTTTAAGGAATGTTTGGATTAATTTAGAAGGATCAGTAAGTAAAGGATTTTTCTTCCCTTCCTTGCAGAGGAAGGGAAGCAAAATTGTCCCTTCTCCAGCCTCTCACTGAAAGGAGCAGGAAGCAGACAGTACTTAAATTTGTTAGGCAACAGGAAGTAAACTTGAGACCTCTCACTGATAAGGGAGTTAGGTTTTTTGTGTGTGCCATTTGTTTTATTAGATAGCCACTGCAAGATGTTTTTTTCTGTAGTATTTGTATCTGGATGTCTCAGCCTTAGATGAGGAACAGAATTGAAAATATTTGTGAAACTGGGAACCTGTAATAGTGCAAGACTGGGTTTATCTGTGTGCTGGCTTATGTGATTTATTAATGACGATTAGTACATATGCTTAATTGTATTGTTGCTTATTGAAAGAATTTCTGTGAACTTGTTTTGCTGCTGAAGTGACCTAAATGTAAAAGCTGTCAATTTCTATTGTTACTTAAATAGTTTCTTCTCATCCTCCCTTTCACCACAACCAGTTGTTCACCTACACACTTGAATACTTTACACCATTATTGTTACACCCTCCCTCCTTTGGAGCATGTTTGATCAAAATCCAGAAAAGCCTATTGCTCAGCAACAGGAGGAGAGCTTGTATTTGATCAGAAGTGTTAGAGCTGGAACTACAGGTGATCCTCCCAGGAGCTCAGGGTCTATTTCATTAAATCCCATGCCTGCTGAGTAGCTTTATTAGTCTTACAGCTAACGGTGTGGGAAATAGATAAAGTAATTGATGTTGCTAGATGAGGGTGTGTTGTGGTTTAAGCCCAGCCAGCAAAAAAACCCCACACGGCTGTTCTCTTACTCCTTCTCCCCTGGTGGGCTGGCGAGGAGAAAATGTAGTGAAAGGCTCATGGGTTGAAAGAAGGACAGGGAGGGGATGGCTTGCTGATTATGATCCTGGGCAAAATAGACTTGTCTTGGGATAAAAACCAAAAATATTTGTTACCAATCAAATCAGAGTAGGTTAATGAGAAATAAAAGCAAATCTTGAAAACATTTTCTCCCCTGCACTCCCTTCTTGGGCTTAACTTCGCTTAGGGGATGGGCAGTGACTGCTGTCACTGCTACAAAGGATTGCATACTTCATTTTTGTCAGTTCACCACACGTTGTTGCTCCATCCTCCTCAGAGGGAGGACTGCTCACATTCTTACCTTGTTCTAGTGTGGGGTCCCTCCCGTGGGAGATGGTTCTCCATGAACTTCTCCAAAATGAGTCTTTCCCACAGGCTGAGTTCTCCATGAACTGCTCCAGTGTGACTCCTTTCCACAGAAAGACTTCTCCAGCATGGGCTTCTCACAGAGTTACAGCATTCTTTGGGTGCAACCACGTGCTCTGGTGTCAGGTCCTCCACAGGCTGCAGGAGGATAGCCTACCTCACCGTGGTCTTCACCACAGGCTGCAGGAGAATCTCTGCTCCAGCACACTGCCTCCCTTCCTTCACTGACCTCGGTGTGTGCAGCGTTGTTTCCCTCACATCCCACTACTCTCTTTGGTACATATTCCCCGGGATTTTTTTCTTCCGTCTTATATATGTTATCCCAGAGGCACTGTCAGTGTTGCTGATTGGCTCAGCTTTGCCCAACAGCAGGTCCATCTTGGAGCTGGAAAAGCTTCTAGCAGGTTCTCCCAGGAGCCACCACTGTAGCCCCTCCCTTGCTACCATGATGCAAACCCAGTACAGAGTGTGGCAGGAATTTTTTATAAGAATGTTGTGGCATTTGTTTCTTGTCTTTAAACGATGAGTTCTCCTGGAGAAATGTGCAGATAGGTCAAACATGTCACGTGCATCAGACTCTGTGTACCCTTTCGTGTGTAGCTTCAGGTATGCAATAATCATAGAATCATAGAATCATAGAATGGCCTAGGCTGGAAGGGACCTTAGAGATCATTTAATCCAACCTCCCTGTCATGGGCAGGGACACCACATCTCAACTAGATCAGGCAGCACATGGGGACCGAGCAGGAATCGAACCTGCAGCCTTGGTGTTATCAGCACCGTGCTCTAACCAACTGATAATGGTTTCATAAAGGAAGTTATAGGCTTACAGGCGACAAAAATTTAGAAAGGAAAAAAGTAATCAAAAACTTTCCGTTGAATATGAGAGTTTACTGAGGATTCCAAGTAGCAGCAAGCAGTAGTGACTGTACCCGTTTCAGAATATCTTTCACAATTGCGGCATATAATCTTTCAGCTCAACGTGCTGTATGTGTTATCATATGCTGTGGCGTAAGCTTTTAAAGGTATCTCATTGGAAATCAGTCTGTTCTAGTGTAGATCTCCTTGGAATAGAACAGGAAGAATAGCTGCAAGTAAAATTGTGGGGTTTTTCATCAAGTATTTGTAGTAAAATTGTTGAGTTAGTATGAAATACCGCTTGAAAACTTTAGCTTTTCTGCAGTGATACTATAGAAAATAGTTTGCAAAGATTTGTATACTGTAGTAAGTTTGTTCTCATTTCAGTTGAACACTAAGATCACTACGTTTAAGCACGTGCTAGTGACATCTGAATCATAGAATGGCCTAGGCTGGAAGGGACCTTAGAGATCATTTTAATCCAGCCTTCCTGTCGCCAGGACACCACCTCTCGACTAGATCAGGCAACACATGGGGACCGAATGGGAATCGAACCCGCAACCTTGGCATTGTTAGTGCCACGTTCAACTGACTGAACTAACCGGCCTTCCTGGAGGAGTGCTGATTCATTGTTTGTTTAGGTTTCTTTTTTAAACTGGAAAATGGATGGTTAGCGGTAGTAGTCTGATGGGTGAATAGGATTAAAAAGGAAAATGCTTTAATCTTTCTATGATTGTGATTTTGCACTAATAAATAAATTTTAGGAGGAGACAAAACAGCATTAGCTACAGTGTTAGATGGCGTGTACATCAGGAGAGTGTGTTGATAAAGAAAATACATCTGTAGTATTCTGAGCCTTGGGACTGTCACCTGATACACTGCTGTTACTGCTACAAAGGATTGCATATTTCATGAAGGTTTTAAGAAAAATACGTGGTTTTTGTGGGACTTTTTAGGAGTTTTAAATTCAATTTATAAAGGAAATGTTAGATGTCTTCAAGTGGGAGTGAAAACTCAAGAGAAAAGCTTTTTAATGACAGCATCAGTTTTGTAGAAAATGTTGTATTTCAAATGTAGATGTTTTAAAAAACAAAAAAATTTGTTTCATGTGTTTTTCAGCTTTAACAAGAGTGAATTTAAACAAATATCATTATTTCCACTGAGAACACAATTAATGTTTTCAATTAATTCTGTTGTTGAAATGCTGACCTACCATGCAGGTGCTGTATCATCTGCTGAGCGATAGGTTGTTACTGTCAGTGCTCTGTGCTGGGGTGTGTGTGGGGACAAGGGATCTGCAACCTTGGCGAAGTGCTTGCATCATCTGTGTGGTCATCCCTTCGAACTCTCTATATGGAAGGAGTATCTGAGGACATTTAGGCTATTCAGATGTGTTGTTATAGCAGAAGGACCTGTGTTCATTTGTTCACTTATGCCGTTGAGCTCTGCTTTCAACGATCTGTGGCGTCTGAAAGTAGTGCTCCTCATCTCAGTTTGTAATAAATCAGATGGTGTTCTCTGTAGGAACCATTGTCTCCTACAGCTCTTGACTGCTGGACTGTTTTTGACCAGGCTTTTTTACTGTACCTACATGCAGTCAGATGTCTGTGGTTGCTGTTGCCAGTTGTGGGCTTCTCTGACTTCCTGGCAGCTTCTGCTGCTATTGGAAACGTAGGTCTTACACAGCCTGTACTGACTTGCATGCATTGGAACAGTTGGTTTGTTTGCCAGCTGATGTGAAATATGGTAAGGAATGTGAAGTGGGAATTTTTCTCATTTGAATAACCAACTTTCACAGTTAAAAGTTCTGCTTAGCTTGTAGAACTGGAAGGTGCTTGTGTCGGGGTTTTAGATTAATAATATTTTCATGAATTTCATTTGTGAGAAACAAGTCAGGTCCTTAGAAAAAAACCAGATTTTTCTATAACTATAGGATCATAAGCACTAGTTAAAATGAGGAGTGGATAAAGCATTGGATTTTATTTAATTTAGGGGTTTTAATTGTGTTTTATTGTGTTTCTATGGCTGGTGAATACAAAATATACTTCTGCATTTGTATCTCATGTTTAATCCAATTTACAGTACACAAAATATTTCTTTATATGGTTAGAGCTTTTTCTTATGAGGATCTTTGAACCTGGAATAGTTTCCCTGTGAGGAATCGTTAGGTACGCAAGCACTCTACTTGTTGACAGTTGTGACTCTTAAGTTGTGAAGGATTTGGGGTGGAGGGACTGACTGCCTTTTCTAAAACTCAGGGGCCACGCAGTGAAGTTTGCAGGAGACAGGTGCAGAGAAAAAAGAAAGATCAGGTGGTAGATTTGTGAAACTATTCATCGAAAGGGTTTGTAGATGCACAAAGATGATACAGATCCAAAAAGAGACGTGGGCAAGTACTTGTGGAGGGAAGGAAGTCCCCTGTTTTGAAAACAGAAGCTAGGAAATAGGCAAGAAACTTCTATTTATGCTTCCCTGGCCTTACTCTTTCCTGATCATCTGCTTGTGGCTGATGTTGAGAGGAGAGTACTGAGCTAAGCAGTCTTGTTGTCTGAGCTGGCAAGGTTATCCATATGTTCATAGTCTTCCAGTTTCCCAACCCTTTCTACTAAAGGGTCACAGAATCTCTTTTCCAGAATACATTGTGTACAGGAACTGGGAAACTTTATAAGGTTGTATCCATCTTCAAGTTATGAAAGACAGACAAAACTTCATGTATGGTGCATAGATGAGCCACCTGTGTGAAGATTTTGGGTTTATGGAATTTGTTTTTTCTTCCTTTAACAACA